GTATCCCACACGGCAAGGTCGGCCCTCATGGCGGACGATACCCGGATGAAATGGCGTGGGGATTGCACCCCCGCCGTAGCTGCCGACAGGCTGCGGCTAAAAACCCTACCCATCGGGATTACCCGGCAAGCGAAATTCAACATCCCGATCAACGACTGCAGCTGCCGCAGGGTGACTTTCCTCGCCCGCGCTACTGCTGCCACCGACCCTTTCAGCCCTTGCAGCTTTGCCAGCGGCAGCCGACATTCGCCCCGCACTGAGTCAATCTCCAACCCCAGGAAACTAAGGCACACTTCAGTTTTATCCGCTGCCAGCGGGACCCCGAAGCACCCAGCGACCCACTCAATAGTCCGCAGCAAATGCTGGCAAGCAGGAGTGCTCGCCGGCCCCACGCAGAAGAAGTCGTCCAAATAGTGCACCACTGATCCATTCCCTGCCTCCGCCCGTACCACCCATTCGAGGAAAGTGCTGAACTTCTCAAAGTATGAGCACGAGATGGAACAGCCCATGGGGAGGCACAAGTCCACAAAGTATGCCCCTTCAAAGAAACACCCCAGAAGGTGGTGACATGCCGGGTGGACCGGAAGCAGCCGAAATGCTGCCTCAATGTCCACCTTTGCCATCAGCGCCCCGCGCCCGGCCTTCTTAACCAGCTCGACCGCCCGGTCGAATGATGCATATGAGACCGAGCACAACTCTTTGTCGATATCATCATTCACCGACGCTCCCTTGGGGTAGGAGAGGTGGTGGATGAGCCTGAACTTCCCCGGCTCTTTCTTGGGTACCACCCCGAGCGGGGAAACCCTAAGGCCTTCCAACGGCGGTGTCGAGAATGGGCCCGCCATCCTACCCAATAAAACTTCCTTTTCTAATTTCTCCCGCACCACCCCCGGAAACTCCGCCACCGACTTAAGGTTGCGCCGCACCCCAGATCCCCCCCTGTCCCGGAACGGGATAAAAAACCCTTGCCCAAAGCCCGCCCGTAGCAACTCGGCGTCTGCCCTGTTACCGTAGCGGCTTAGCCATGGCTCCATCGCGTCTAGCCTCACCGGGGTTAAGCCCCGGGGCAGAGGAGACCCCTCCTCCCCCCCCCAACCGTAGCAGCGACTCCGGTATGTCCTGACTTCCCCTTTTTGAAGCATCGGTTAAGCCCGTGTGTGCCCCCGCAGCCGGAGCACTCGTGCTTAAAACGACAGGTGTTCCCCCATTTGCACTGGCCTTCATTGAAGAGCCAGCATAAGCCCTTTTGCAAGGCGGCCGACGAGGCGGACTGCCCCTTTGCGCCGGCCGTGTGCTGAAAGGGCTGCGCCTTCTGCGCCATCATCAATTTCATCCAGAGGGGCAGGTCCATTTGGTCCCATCTCATACCCGGATTAGCCGCCAAGCGCTGCCGGAACTGCTCATCATACCGCCACCACGCCAGCCCGCCGTAGGTGCGGTATGCCTCCCAAATTCCGTCTAAATAGCAAAACAGGGAGGAGCACGATTCCGGCGATTTCTCACCTAGGACACTGGCCAGGACGCAGAACGCCCTTAGCCAGTTGCCAAAAGATTTCGGTATCTTACGATACCGCTTCTTTTTCTCCTCCTCCTCTTTTTTCTCGTCTTTCTTATCTTCCTCCTTGAGGTCTATAAACTCCTCTAAGGGGAGAAGGGAAAAGATTTCACAGAATTCGCCCTTCCAGATCTTGTCTTTCACCTCCTGTTTGAGGTGCACCCCGAGCGGACCAGCGAACGACACGTATGCGTGCTGTCTGGCCGCATCAGGGACCCCCCCACCAGTCAACTCCGCCCGCTCACTCGCTGCGTCCGCCCTGCTGCCAGCCGCTCCCGAATCCCCGCTCGAACTCGGTTCTGCGGAGATAACACCCGTGGCCCCTGTCCCCTGTGCCCACACCTGACCTACACCGCCCCCCGTGTCACCCCCCGCTCCCAGCGAGTGGAGAAGTATTTGTAGTGTGTGAATCAATGTATTGGATTGCAACGAGGCACAGGACTCACCGGCCAAGCCCCCCGGTCTCCGAGTGCTGGGGGCTGCGTTGTCCACTGTAATCCGTCCGGGAGGAGCGACCTCCGTTAACGCCCCGTCGACCGGGGAGCCAACCCGGTGCCCAGCTAACACAGAAGATGACCGGCTCCGAGACCTGTAACGAGGAGAAGATGTCCTGGGTAGGGTGTAACGATCCCCTGTCACCCTCTCACCCCGACCCGGGGAGCGCCTGCCCTTCACCAAAGCCTCCCTCCGTGTGGTGCCCGTAGTCCGTGCTCCAGAGGCCTGGATGGCCCCGCCCCATGGGCTACGACTCCTTCCCCCCCAGCGTTCGGTCCGCCCCCGCCGACCATGCCTGGGGGCCCTGACCCTGCTCCTGTCCGACCCCTCAGAGGTGGAACTGTCTTGTCTTGACCTCCCCCTAGCTCCCCCAGCTCCCTGATCCCTAACTGGGGATGGGCTAATGCTGCTAGACCCCGAGCTAGACCCCCCCCTCCTGCCACTGCGCCCCAGCACCTGCCTGTCCACCCGGGCCAACCCCCACCCCCACCTTGACGGGCTCCCCGGCCTACAACACCCCCTTTATCCAGCCTAGCCACTGCCTGATCAGCTAACCCCCCTGCTCCCAGGGGCCCCGACTGCCCCACAGGCCCAGGCCCACCCCTAATCCCAGAGGGAGACCCCCTGTCTAATCTTGTAGCACTGAGGGACCCCTTAGGTGCCCCTGACCTCTTCCCCCTCACTACCCGCCCCTTCTCCAGTACCACTGAACTACCCTGGGCACCGCCCACGACCCCCCTCCTTTCCCCTTGTAACCCTAGAGTGGCCGGCCTAGTACCCCCCATCCCTCCGTCTCCACTACCCCCAGGCAACTCCTTCCCAGCACCCAGCACGCCAAGAGAGCCCCTGGCGGGGCCCCCTGCACTTGCCTGTCTGTCCTGGGGCCTGCCGGACGGCTTCACGGTTCTGGCCCCGCCTGTTGCATCCGCTGACCTCCTGGTCGTCCTCCTGGGCTGCGGCCCCACGTGGTCCATCACTCCAGGGGGCCCGGCCGGTGCCGCGGCCCCCGCTCCTGGCGCGGCCCCCTCCGACCTGGGAGCCAGACCGCCGCCGTCACGGGCAGCCGCCCGCCGCGCAGCTTGTCCCCAAGGCCACGGTAGCGCGCTGGGAGGCGGGGCCTCGACCGCGCTACTACCGGGCCTGCTGCGGCCTCCTCCCGCCGCCATGCGCCCACTGGGTCCAGCTTCACCGGGCCCCACGCCCGGGCTCAGCCTCCGCGGCGGCCTCCTGGCCCGCACTGGACGATCCTGCGCGCCCTCCTGGGCCGCCATTCCCGCCAGGGCCGGTCCGAGTTGGGCCCGCAACCAATCCGCTCCATGACCTCGCGCTGCTGACCGGATCCCCTCCAGCAGCCTCTCCACTTCGTCCATGGCCCTGCAGAAATGACAAGAAAGAAAAAAGGCCCTACCTAACCCAATCTGCACACACAGAAGTGCACACAAACTCAGTCAGGTAGGAAATTAGAAGTGAGCTCACTTAAAATGGCTGCCTATTTAAATAGCCCAGCCTACTTACCCATAACTCCATACTTCCTTCCCTCCTCCTATGCCCGCCTCCTAACCCCTGTCAAGGCCCTTTTTTCGCTTAGCTTTGCTTTGGCTGCATGGGGCTACAGTTTTGGTTCTAGTGATTATAGTGTCCATTTAATATTGAGCTATGACTTTAGGCAGCTTGGGAGCCAAGAACAAGAGTTTTTGTGCCTCGCAAACCGTGCAGTAACTAGAACTGACCGTATATGTTTCACATGCTGCATTTTCTCTCCCTCATTGGTTTCTGAAGCATTGTGGTTGTAAAGTAACGCAAGCTGGCCCGTGCTATTTGCCAAGAACCATGTAACATGTATTTAATAAATCATCTGTGGTTCTGTACTCTGAGGTATTCTGAAATATGCTTGCACTGTGTTTCCTTGCAACTTGTCTCTGGTGTCTCTATAAATGGATACCAGGAGACAAAAGGGCCAGGAAAGAGTATTGTGTATGTGTTTGGAGCCAGCTTGGGGTATTGCGTGTGTGCAGAGTGAGCTGGTCATGGTGTGGTATTGTGTAATAAGGTCGGTTTTAGTCGTGTTGTGCTTGTGGTGTAATGTAATGCATATGTGGCTAGGGGCTTTAGAGAATGTGTGTTTAGGGGATGTAGCAAGTGTGGTGATGTAGTGTTTGTAGAGAGTGTGTGTTCAGGGAATGTAGTATGTGTTTGCTTACAAGGAATCTAGTGTGCGTATAGGGGATCCAGATTGTGTGTGTGTTTGAAGGACCCAGAATATGTATAGGAGATCTAGTGAGCGTGCGTTTATAATGGATTCAGAGTGTATATAGGGATCTAGTGTGTGTATGTGTGTAGATGATCCAGAGTTGGGTAGAGGATCTAGTGTGTGTCTGGAATGAAATGTGTTTAGGGGTGCTGTGTGTGTGTGAGGGGTGCTGTGTGTGTGTGAGGGGTGCTGTGTGTATATTTATATGTGTATATATATTATATAAATATGTTTGGAAGTATTGTGTATGTGTGTGATGCAGTGTATCGGGGGGTTGTGTGTGTGTGTGAGGGGTGCAGTATGTGTGTGTGATGGATCCTGTGTGTGAGGTGTGGGTGCTGTATGTGTGGGTGCTGTATGTGATTAATTTGTGTGAGGGTGCTGTGTATGATGTATGTGAGACTGTTGTGAGTGCTGAGTGTGAGTGCTGAGTGTTATGTGTGTGAGAGTGCTGAGTGCTGTGTGTGAGAGTGTTGTGTGTGATAGTGCTGTGTATGTGTGTTTGTTGTGTGTGAGAGTGCTGTGTTTGTTGTGTGTGAGAGTGCTGAGTGTGAGAGTGTTGTGTGTGATAGTGCTGTGTATGTGTGTTTGTTGTGTGTGAGAGTGCTGTGTTTGTTGTGTGTGAGAGTGCTGTGTGTGAGAGTGCAGAGTGTGATGTGTGTGAGTGCAGAGTGTGATGTGTGTGAGTGCAGAGTGTGATGTGTGTGAGAGTGCAGAGTGTGATGAGTGTGAGAGTGCTGTGTATGATGTGTGTGAGAGTGCAGAGTGTGATGAGTGTGAGAGTGCTGTGTATGATGTGTGTGAGAGTGCAGAGTGTGATGAGTGCAGAGTGTGATGAGTGCAGAGTGTGATGAGTGTGAGAGTGCTGTGTATGATGTGTGTGAGAGTGCAGAGTGTGATGAGTGTGAGAGTGCTGTGTATGATGTGTGTGAGAGTGCAGAGTGTGATGTGTGTGAGAGTGCTGTGTATGATGTGTGTGTGAGAGTGCTGTGTATGATGTGTGTGTGAGAGTGCTGTGTATGATGTGTGTGAGAGTGCAGAGTGTGATGCGTGTGAGTGCTGTGTATGATGCGTGTGAGTGCTGTGTATGATGCCTGTGAGTGCTGTGTATGATGCGTGTGAGTGCTGTGTATGATGTGTGAGAGTGCTGAGTGTGAGAGTGCTGAGTGTGAGAGTGCTGTGTATGATGTGTGTGAGAGTGCAGAGTGTGATGTGTGTGAGAGTGCTGTGTATGATGTGTGTGAGAGTGCAGAGTGTGATGTGTGTGAGAGTGCTGTGTATGATGTGTGTGAGTGCTGTGTATGATGTGTGTGAGAGTGCTGTGTGTGAGAGTGCTGTGTGTGAGAGTGCTGTGTGTGAGAGTGCTGTGTGTGATGTGTGTGATGTGTATGATGTGTATGATGTGTATGATGTGTATGATGTGTATGATGTGTGTGAGAGTGCTGAGTGTGAGAGTGCTGTGTATGATGTGTGTGAGAGTGCAGAGTGTGATGAGTGTGAGAGTGCTGTGTATGATGTGTGTTGGGGGGGTAAATAAATAAAAAATAAAAAAACTAAGTAGACATTAAATCCCCCCTCCCTCTTACCTTTAGCCTGGGAGGGGGGGGACAGGCACATGGTAGTGGGGGGACAGGCACGTGGTAGCTGGGAGGGGGGACTGGCACACTCACATCATCCCTGGTGGTCCAGTGGTGAGTGAACTCTAGTCTGAGGGCTAGAGTTCACTCTCGCGAGATCGGCGCGTTGCCATGGCAACGCGCCGCATCTCGCGAGAGGAACCGGGCGGAGCTACAAGATAGA